CGCTCTTCCAGCTCAAGGACACGGGCACTCAGGTTCCCCAGCTCCTGCTGGCCCTGCTCGGCCTGGGCCCGTACCCTGGTCAGCTCCTCTTCCAGTGTCCTGCGCTCCGTCCCCAGGGCCTGGGCCTGTTGTTGGGCATCTCTGAGCTGGTCCCGCAGCTGTTGGTTCTCCTGGTCCAGCGTGTGACTCCGCTCACGGCAGCGTTTCAGCTCTGCGTTTAGGTCACATAGCTGACCTTTTAAGTCCCAGGCTGGACGTTTGCCAGGTTTCTTCCCTGCCACCATAGGAGGAGCGGCTGATGCTGAGAGGGGCACGGGAAGGAGAGAGGTCAGGGCAGTACCTGTTCCCCACCCTTCCTCCCTGGAGCATCCAGGGCCTCGCACAGTGCTACATCGATCTCCCTCCCCTCCAGACAGCAAAGCGCCCAAATGGGCCTTTCTGGGCACTCACCACACCTCTTCCCGGTCCCAGCCTCCCACCCAGTGCTTCTGTTTGTCACCTACTGCCAGATTTCTGGGCGGGAACAACAGGGACTGGCTTCTGGTTCTTCAGCACTAGAGGATCGGGAATTGACGTAAGGGATTATAGACCAGTAACCCTCCACATCCCTCCTCTCCCTCCCAAGCCCCTTTTCAGTTTGCAGTCCCACTCTCACATGCTATTACCTGAGGGGACAGCTGTGGAACTCCGGGGTCCTGTCTTCTTGGGAACTTTTTGAGCTGTCCAGAGACAAGAGAGGAAAAATAGAAAGATCACACTCAGGTGGCAGGTACCCTGGCTGAGCCAAGGGCAGGAGAGGTACTGCTGCTGCTTCTTTTGAAAGCACTCTTTATTTTTTTTAAAAAAAGAATTATTTTATTTAACTTTATCCATTTATTTATTTATCTCATTTCTAACCCTCAGAAGAAGCACCTCTCCTGGGGCCAGCAGGTGGTGTGGTGGTTAAGGGTGCTGGATTCCCACATGGCTGACCATGGTTCAAGTCCCAGACCTGGTGGCTTGCTTTTTCACTCTCTCTCTCTCTCTCTCTGTGTCCCTCTCTGGTTGAATTAAAATTTAAAAATAAATTTAATTAATTAATTAAGTTAAATAAAATGATTCTTAAAAAAAAAATTTTCCCTTATTCCCTAAAGGCCAGCCAGCTCCAATCATATCCTTCCTAAGATCCGACCTTACTTCATATGCCCAGAAATAAGGACCGAGACAAAGAGCAGGGTAGGGGGCAGGGTCATGTGTCAAGCACGCCACCATCTGTGTAAAAACTGGGGACTGTGTCCGTATTGCTTGAGTCCTTATAGAATTTGGGGATTTAAAAAGGAGATCCTAGGGCCCACCAGGTGGCATAGTGGTTAAGGCATTGGACTCCCACAGGGTCGACTGTGGTTCAAATCCCAGACCCGGAATCTTAAAACTCACACCAGGCATTTGTGCATGTGTGCCCAAAATCTCAGGACGAAAATGGATTAAAGACTGCAGTGCGGCCACCCCCAGAGAGATCTCCCTTTCTCTCTCTCTGGCGAGTGTACATGCCCTATAGCAAAACTCTCTATACAACAAAGGGGGAGCCTATTAGTTTCTCAGCTGCACCAGGTGACCCGTGAGGAGATCTGCGTGGCTGGAGATACAAGGAAACTTTTCATGTGTAACAACCTTTGGGCCTTTGGAATTTTGAACCAAGCGGAATACTACCTATTCCAGACAGACTGAAACGGAAAGAAAAGAAACAAGTGTGTCAAAGCACTGTACTTCCACGCCCTTGGCACCTGTCCACCCCTACAGCACACCTGTGGCCTGACCTTGTATCTGTGAGACTGTGGTGAGGGGTGGAACTCTGGGGCGGGTTGTGACAATTTTGTTTGCTGCACCCAGGCCTCGTGAGCGTTTCTGGGGAAAGATAAAGATAGGGTCCATGGTTACCTTCCCAGACTGGTTTACATCCTCTCTCTCTCTCTCTCTCTCACACACACACACACACACACACACACACACACACAACTCTCCACATCCCGCTCACCTTCTCAGGCTCCAAGGCATCCTCCATCTGGCTAGCCCCCCTCTTGATCCTGCTTCCTGGGAGAGGCAGTCGGGAAGAGGTCTTGGTAAGGGAAGTCTTCAGCTGTATGTTCCCCTTCACTTCCAACAAGGGGGACCTCTGTTGGGAAGAGACCCTTAAGACCGTACCCAGAAGCCCAAATGTCCTAAGAGTTCACATGTTTTGGCCCTCCAGTCTCAAGTCTCAACGCCGCCACCACCAAGCATTAACTGAGTACCACTCGGGCCAAAGCGCTCAGACAGAAGAGGGATACAATGTAGAAGCAGGAGCAACCTCCAAAGGAAAAGCTGGGTGGATCTTGGACTTGCGCTAACTTTAAGGATAACCGTCAAAAAAGCAGAGAAAAGGACACTCCTTTTAGAAGACAAAGATCCAAACATGCATATGGCACAAGTGGGAAGCCAACGGGCTCCTTTTTCGAGTTTATTTTTACTTTCACTCATGACAAGAGTGCATGCATGCACACTGTGGGGGCAGGAAGGCACCCTCGAACACTATCACCCTGCAGCCCGCTTTCCCCGGCCCTCCAGGTCATCGTGATCTTGGGCATGCGTGCACACGCCCAGCCTGTTTTCAGGACAACCTGGGGATCTGAACCCACAGGTGGCCACGGGGCTCCAGCACTTCAGTTGAGTTTGCCGCTGACCGTGCTACCAGGCTACAGGAGATAACTGCCTTTTAAAAAAAGGTGGGGAAAGGAGTTTATTCACTCATTTATTTCTTCCATTGTGAGAGAGACAGAGACAGCACCCCCAATAAGGGTCTTGACCACAGTCTACTTCCAGCTGCAACAAGCCCTGGATCGTGGACACGCGCATGTGTGGCATACTCAGGGAAGTCCCTGGGTGTGACCCAGAACCTACCCTCGTGGGTCCTCCTCACAGAGCACAGCCTCTTTACTGTTCTACCACTGTATGTCTTACCAGTAGGACCTTATTTTTAAAAAATAATTATTTATTTATTGTTATTATCAATTTTTAAAATTTGCTATAGGGTACATGAACTCAGAGAGAGAGAGAAATCAAGCTACCACGTCCAGGATTTGAACTGCAGTCAGCCATGTGGGAGTCCAGTGCCTAAACCACCACACCACCAGCTGGTCCTCCAACAGGACCTTTTAACTGGAGCTGAGAATTACAAGGAAGGACGAAAGCAGACAATAGGTAAGGGTGGAAACTGGTAGGGAGAATGAGCACTGTTCTAAATGCTTTATCTGTATCAGTTTCATTAATCCTTTGTTTTTATTTATGATAGAAAATGCATACATGCCTACGAGGGAGAGGGGTACCCTGTTAACAGGGTCTCATCACATGGCAACCCCTTACTCACTTCACAGTAGCCGAGTGAGGGGCTGTTATTAACTCCATTTTGCAGACGAAGGAAGGCACTGAGAAGTAAAATAGCTTGTCTACCAACCTCAGGTAGTAAAAGCCAGAGCTAGAGAGAGAATTTAGACAAAACTATAATTTACAATGTAGTCTGGTTCCAGAGGCCATGTGTTTAAACTGCTAAACTACACTGCCTCACGGGGCTCGGATGCCAGACTGAGGCAGAGTTGAGGCTTTCTCCCTGCGTACTGTGAAGAAGTGACTACAGTTTCTGACCAGGCACGTGAAAATACATGAAAGAGGGACCAGTAGTTAGCATAATGGGTATGTGGCTGGACTCCCATGTAGTCGACTGCAGTTCAAGTCCTGGACCCGGTGGCTTAAACTCACACTGGGCACGTGTGCGTGCATGCCCAAGATCCCGAGAGGAGAATGGAGGAGAAGGGATTGCGGAGTGGCCATCCCCCTGGGGGGTGATTTCTCGCTTTCTGTCTCTCGATCTCTGTCTCTCTGGTGAGCACATGCGCCCTGCAGCAAAAACTTCTCAAAAAGAAGAATAGGGCTGGCCAGTGGCACAACAGTGATACGCCTGGCCCCACACGGGACAAAAAAAAGAAGAATAGGGCTGGCCAGTGTCACAACAGTGATACGCCTGGCCCCACACGGGAAGGTACCCAGTCTGCATCCCTGAGCTCCCTGTTCATACTGTGGTGCATGTCTGTGACTATAATCTCAGCAAGCTGAGGCTGGGAATGGATCACAGCATGAAGACCCTGGGGGTGCCTGTCTCTCTGTCTCAGTCTCTCTCATGGAAGAAAAAAATAAGATTGATAATGAGTTGTGTGGAGCTGGCTGGTGGCGTGGTGGTTAAGGGCACTGGGCTCCCACATGGCAGACTGCAGTTTAAGTCCCAGACCTGGTGGCTTGCTCTCTCACTTTACCTTTCTTGCACTCTGTTCCTCTCTGGTCAAATTAAAATAAATAAATAAATGAAAAGTTAAATAATTCTTAAAAAAAGAGAGAGAAAGAGAGTTGCGAGTAGGATGACTTGCTTAGTGAAGATGGGAGGCAGTATGACCAGTTTGGACGCCAAAGTACAGGTGTGAGCTGGAGTCGGTGGGAAAAGAGAGCTCCTCTCCTTTGAGAAGTCTAATTCAGTGCCTGGAAAGTACGCCCACCCTTGTTCTTACCTGTGGTGGCCAACTCTTCTAATTTACCCAGGACTGAGGGGTTTCTTGGGACACAGGACTTTGAATGCTAACACCAGGTCAGTCCTATGAAAACTGGAACAACTGGTCACCCTATTCCTATCCCATCATCTGGGAAGCACAATCTATAGATACTCATCTGATTTTCACCACCAGTAACTTTTCATTCTGAAGCCGGTCTCTCGGCTCTTGGGCTTCCTTCATTCCATTAGCTTTTGTGGTGTGCCCAGCAATGTTCTGGCATCTAGAGGAAGAGTTGGGGCTCGCTCTCTCAAGATGCTCATAGGCCAGTGAAGATAAATATTTGAAGAGGTGATTAAGACTTTATGAAGGGGCTAGCAGGTGGCATATCGGTCAGGGCACCACAGTTCGAGCCCCAGACCTGGCACTTGAAACTCATACGGAGCATGTGTGTGTGCACAAAATCCTGAGAGGAGAATGGAGGAAACAAGACCGTGGGGGTGATTTCTTGCTTTCTGTCATCTGCCTCTTTGGCAAACACAAGCACCCTAAGCAAAAATCTCTCTCAAAAAAAGATACTGAACTGGGCTGCCTCATAGCCTAGTGGTTAAAGGAGCCAGATCCCACATGGTCAACCGCACAGTTCAAATCCTGGCTGCGATGGCTTGAGAAACACCCCAAGTACATGTGTGTGCATGTCCAAAATCCCAATGGATGGAGAAATAGAGAAGGGAATGTACTGTAAGCATGCCCCAGCTGAGGGTGGATTTCTCCCTCTCCTGTTGTCTCTGACAAGTGCATACGTGGGCCCTTTGACAAGTAAACACACACACACACACACACACACACACACACACACTTACTGAATTGGACTCATATGAGAGAGTCCTGGTTTGGTCCCAGAAATAAACCTTTAAAAACTTTTATTGTGGGACTAGCAGGTAGCATGGGGGTTGGGGTTGCTGGTCTCCTACCCACATGGCTGACCTCAGTTTGAGTCCCAGTCTAGTGACTTGTTTTGTTACTTTCTCTCTCTCTTTCTCTGTCTCAGTGACTTGCTTTGTTACTTTCTCTCTCTCTTTCTCTGTCTCTTTCTGGTCAAGTTAAAAAATAAGTAAATAAGTAAATAAATGTTAAAAAAATAAAATAATTTATTGTAAATGCCATTAAAAAACAAAAACAACTCTCGAGGGACCAGCAGATGGCATAATGGTTCTGTAGCTAGACTCACACATAGTTGACCACAGTTTGAGTCCCAGATCTGGTGGCTTAAAACTCATGCTGGGGACACGTGTGTGTGTGGGTGTGTGTGTGTCCAAAATCCCAGAAGGAGATAAGAGGCGGAAAAGGGATATGGGGCGG